CCGCCGCTGAAAAACTGGAGGAGGGAACGGCGGGCGCCGGCGACGCCGGCGTCCCCGGGCATGGGACGTGCCGCGGCTGCGCGCGACGCCGTGCGCATGCGGGATGTAAGGCCGGTCGGAGCGTGGTCAGGCATGTGGTGACGTGGCTGCTGCCGGCGCAGGCAGCTGAGGGTGTCGTCAGGGCACTCGGAACAAGCGGGCTCATAGTGTGGGCGCATGGCACTGTGCTGGTGAGCGCCAAACCGGCGTGCCTGGGGCCCGCTGCGCACCCTTACCTGAAAAAGAGACCCCACAGACGATCAAAGTCACCAGCAGCCCGATGCGGGAGACCTGCGCTGCCATACCGTATCTCAAGTTCTCAACGCGACCTTGCTAAAGGGTGGTCGGGCACTCGCAACTTGAGGTTTGCTCTGTTACGGTCACAATTTGTATGAAATATCTGTCGGGCCGGGACAAACCGGTGGAACTAAAGCAGAGCCTGCGCGTAACCCGTCATAATGGGCGACGACAGAGCACGCAGCTTCTTCTCATGCATCCAGCGGTGACTCCGGGTTCCACGTATGCAATCACACAGAGATCTACAGAGAGATGTGCGCCACACCGCTCTGCCCCTGACTTGCCGGCCACATCGGTTGTCTGCATTCTGGTGTGCGCTACTGTACCAGCGTTTGGCCCACGGCGGTCACAGGAACGGGCTGACATGGCAGGACCCACCCCACAGCCCCGCTTGGCCTGCAGCAAATCGAACAGCACAGAACTTGTACCCGAGCCTTCTTCTTACAGCAAACCCCCATGCGGCAGCCACTCGCGCGCCGCCGCTCGCTGCCGCATGTTGTGCTTCTCGACCTCTTGCAGCGCGGCCACCACGTCTGGACTGGACCCCGTTGGCGTAGCCCGGGGCCGGGGCCGCGCCCGCCGCTGCTTGACCTCCCTGTTGTGCTTCTTGGTGCCGCCGCTGCCGCTCGCGCCGCCCGCCGCCGCCTCCGCCGCCGAGCCGGGTTTGCCCTTGAGGTTTGTCGACCGACGCTTCGGCTTGAGAGGGGCAAGTGCTGGTGGGATGCCGCCGTCTACAAAGGCCCAGGGGTCACACACCACTGCAGCAACCTTTCGCATCAGCGGACGCAGGCCTGAAACCTGCTGCTGCTGCTGCTGCTGCTGCTGCTGCTGCTGCTGCTGCTGCTGCTGCTGCTGCTGCTGCTGCTGTTGGTGCTGCTCGTGCAGCTGCTGCTGCATCAGCGACACTGCAGCCACAGCTTGCCCGGTTTGCCGGTCGCCGGTTGCCGTTGCCTGCTGTGACGCCCCCTCCTTGCTTCCAGCGTCGTGGATGCTGCAGCTGCAGCTGGCGCTAGACCTGGGACCGCCCCCAGCCCTGCTGCCAGACAGGTAATGCTTCGCGGCAGCCAACACACTGTGTGCAGCTTCCCCACGGCCGCAGCAGCCGCCGCCCCCTGCGGCGGCTGTGGCACCCTGGTCTTTCTCCTGGGGTAGCCGGGGAACGATTGCCGGACCAGGATCTTGCTTTGGGCCCAGGCCGAGGCGTGCCAGCCGCTGTTCCCGCTCCATGGCGCCCAGGTCGAACGTGTGCAGCTGCTGCAGCGCCGCGGCCCGCGCCCGGCGGCCTGCCGTGGCAGCAGAGCTGTCAAGATACACTTGCGGCTGGCCGGGGACTGTCGACAACAGCGGCTGTTCTGCACGGGGTGCTGCACAGCCTTCTGTCGAGCTGCAAGCTGCCAGCCCTGCTCCCCAAAGCTGCATTGTCGGTTCGTTGGGCGCGTAATCGCTCTGAGTAATGCGATCGATTCCCTCGTCGCCCCTGCACGCCGCCTCCAGGCTAGCTGCTGCGGCTGCTGAGTCTCCTGGGCGACTCTGCACCTGTGCACTGCTGCCATCCGCAGCGCTCACATGCGCCGCCACTGCGGGATCCACCATTAACGGGAAGGTGGCAGCTGGGCTCTGCGAGTCACCTGCAGGCTGCGTGCCTGATGAGCTGCCGCTGCCAGTCAAATCGACGTGCAGGCGCGCATTGCAGCTGCTCCTAGGGCCTGGTGCCGTCGCGCTCCCTGACTGGCATGCTGGCCGGTCTCTGCTGCTCAGTGACCCTGGCGCCTCCCGCGCCACGCACACGCAAGCCAGTGGCGAGGCCATTGCGCGTTCCAGCGCCTTCCCAGGCAC